CTCCAGTTAACGGATTTATCACGATGATCCTGAGCATCATGGAAGGTAAACTTACGTATTCTGAGGACATATACGAGCCAGGAGATAAGACAACAAAATTCTTCTTCTTCTTCTTTATGATCTTCTACTTCTTGATATTTGGGCTTCTTTGCCTGAATTTGCTCATCGCCCTCATTTCAAATAGGTACTCGACTATGATGGAAAACAAGAATGAAAACTGGAGATTTTCTCAGTTTACCCTAATCGTGGATTACATGGCACAAGATAAAAAGATGCCATTTTTCTTTCCATTCAACCTACTCTACTTTTTCCCCCGCATTTTTATAAAACAAACTAAAGATCAACCAATAGAAGATAATATGGAAAGGAAAACGTTCATAACAATGCCCATAGAAGATAATACAGAAAGGAAAAAGTTCATAAAAATACTAATGAAACGCAAAGAAAACGCAAAAGATAAAGATGAAGAAGTACAGAAGGAGTTACTAGAGACAATGAAAGAGTTACTAAAGACACAAAGAGTTACTAAAGAAGTAAAAGGACAGTTGAAAGAGGAAGATGGGTAAATGTTTTTGTTGACTCTGCTCCAGTAAAAGAGTCAGTTTCTAACCCTGAAACTGTTCAGAACTCAATATGCCAATGTTGCATTCGATAAAGCTATTATATGTGTATATTATATACTGTTAGTGTTGAAGAAATAAGTCTCTTTCAATGAAACAATCTAAAGTTTTTATTTACATTATTTTAATCATATCCTCACCTAGCTGAACATAAAAATGAACTAAAAAGTGTGTTTTGAGATAATCGAGAAAAAATGATTTCGGAATGTATTGTTACATTAAGAGTACTGGAATTATATTTTTGGAGAGATTGGGGTTCACAGGCAAAACATGGATCAAAATATCATACTTAATTGATATTAACCGTCCAGGAATTATAATTTGAGATAGACCCATTCTTTTAACTGATGAGCAGAATTGACAAAGTTTTTATAGTATAGGGGGTCATTTCGACATGGACCCTTTCTTTTAATTAATGAGCAGAATTGACAAAGTTCTTATAGTATAGTGATTAGTGGGCCATGTCGAAATGGTCTCCTTCAAAGCATATGTATTATTTTAGAAAAATAAACTTCTTAGAAGCCCAATGTCTTCATTTTGAAGTTTTTCATTGCATGAAAAGGTGATATGTTTGCTTTTAAATAACAGGTGATATTTTTGCTTTCAAATAACAGGTGATTTTTTAAAGCAGACTTAAAAAGGTCCGTGTGCACATTTTGATAAAAAATATGTGATTTTTGATAAACTAAAAGATAGCACGTCTACAATATGCGCCCTTCGATTTGTGAAATATTTGGTAAAGTTAAGTCAGTTATAAAAGATCAGTTTGAGTATCCTAATTTTGAGCAAAATGCCCCCATATCACTAACATGCATGTTATTTTAAAAGGGGCTAAGTCGAATAATACCCTTTCATTTTGACAAATTTACCACGATTTAGTTAACTAAACGTCATATACTTGGGAAATAGAATTTTCTGTGATGATTATTGTATAATATAATCATTTAATAAACTTTGATTAAATGTTAGCATTTTTATTATGGCAAGTAGTGGAATAAAGTGAGATATGGCCACAGATAAGTTTCTCTATGATCTTAGAAAAGTTCTACTTTACAGAAGATACTTAGATAGTGCTGTGTGGCAGGAGTGAGGGACCAAAACTTTTGGAACCTATTTAAAAACCACAATGATATCATATTTTATGCTTTATTTGTCTGAAACTAACCCTACTGCTATTCTAATGTTCTTTAAAAATCTCTTAGGTACAACTAAACATGTCAATTTGAAGAGTAAAGGAAGGTGAGGTGGAAACAGCTTGCTAACCGTGTGAAATTTGCCAAAATGTTCCAAAAAATTATTACGTTATATGTGAACGACCCCATGTTACACACTTAAATTACACTCATTGTCCGGCTTATTATCGATTTTATCTGATCAATAGTACTTAATTTCTAATCACTTGAGCCCTTCATAAAATCACTGCCCACTGTTAGTGTTCCAATGTGATTAACAATCCCCACCTTGTAACCAATGGTAACCCAGCATTCACACCACGTGACTTGGTTTGCAGTCTTGTTTTTGGGGGCTAGTTATAATAGTAGTGTAAAATTCAGTGGTCGACCGGGGCCCCGGTCCCGGCCAAAATCACAACCCCCGGCCCCGGCCGAAATTTGAAAATTCGCCGGGGGTAAACCCCGGCCCCGGCCAATAAATTTACCCCCGGCCAAAAACCATGCATTTACCGGGGGCACAGCCGGGGATTTCATGAATGATTTCGGCACATTCTTGAAAAAAATCAAACACAATTTAATGGTATTAATTTACGAAATTTCAACGTTGAAACAATTTATTCATTATTGTCTACGTTGAGTTCGTTCAAATATACAGGGTGGGCCAAAAGTCAGTGGGCACATGCGTTGGCCTTCATCAATTTCTGTTCGAGTCTCTTCTTTGGCAAAATGGGTCGATGTTTTCCATTTTTTGTGAATTATGTGTGCTGTTAAGGAGATTAGAGACGCTAGATTAAATCAATTTCAATTAATTTTTAATCCGTTTTCACATAAGAACTTCGACTTGATATTGTCAGTTTAATTTCAGACAAAATGTTTGTTATAACCAGTGACATTTTCGCAGCGGTAAATTATGACAGATTTGGCTCGAAGAAAAGTGCAGCAGGAACTGGTTGAATTACCAGAAGCTGGAGAAGCTTGTTGTGAGGATTGTGGTAATACTGAGGTGAAGTTACTTAAGTGTGGAGCCTGTAAATCAGTGAGATATTGCAACACTGTCTGTCAGAAGCGTGATTGGGGTAACCATAAGAAGAGTTGCAGCGTTTTGAAGGTCTATCCCATCTACGAAAAGGACCGTGCAATTAATACCAATATAAGCTTACTCACGGGTAAAGTTACAGGACACAGAAAGAAAGCAATTGGAAATTCAGTCAAAACAAATGAGGACATGATTGTGAAGATTCAAACTTCTTTGGGCCTGCAAGATCTAGCCGTCTATAATGAATCTAAAGAGTACTATGCTAGCATTCCAACATCTGACAAAAACCACCGAGTGATAAGTGACAGGATCCTGAAAGAAGGTTTAACATGTGCTCAAGTACACCCTCACCTCAAGAAACTGTACTTCAAAGCTCACCTAAATCCTGACTTCTCTCTTAATGTGTACCTAAACTGCACACATAACATTAATAGTTGGTGACTTCTAATTGTTTTAGCTGAAATTTTCTAGACTTTAGATAAAAACCTTTGTTTTTTAGTTCACTGATGTACACATTTAACGGTATAACACTTATTCATTTTTAACTTAATAAGATTCATCAGTCTTAATTTGTTTATGGGGGGGGGGGGGGGGGGGGGGGGGGGGGGGGGGGGGGGGGTTGTAGCGCGATGCACTACTGGGTCGCGCGCGCATCAAATAATGCTTCTCGCATCTTCGGTAGATCGGCGAGATGCACCACTGTGCCTCACCGAGCTGCGAAGGATTGACATCGTGAATCAAGGGGGGGGGGGGGGGGGTTTTGGTCGTTCATTACGTAATCAAAATTTTAATTTTTTACCGATTTTCGAAATACCGATTGGACAATTTTCGTTAATTATGTAATCAAAATTTTCGTTTTTTAAACCAATTTTCGTTTAGTAAGTGCTTTGCGATTATTTCATTCGTGAATCCGTTGTTATAGTGATACGGGGAGGGGGGGGGTCAAACCTTGATTACGTAATATAGGGGGGGGGTTCGGTCTTGGTTACGGTTAAGTTGATTACGGAGGGGGGGGGGGGGGGGGTAAAAATTGCCAAAATATTAATTACGACTACGTAATATGTGAACGACCCCTAAGGCCAATGTATGCCCACTGACTTTTGGCCCACCCGACGATAAAGTGAAACGACCGTGTGTAGTGGGGTCGCAATAAGACCGCGTGGAGGTTCGGTGAGGTTTTTCGTGGGGCACTTATTTTACGCATACTTACTTGTACTTGATAAGGTCTCCACAATCATTCGATTGGCTTGATTGACGTTGTCAACCCTTCCAGATTGAAGCAAGAATGCTAGTTTGCGAAGCAAAAATGCTAGTTTGCGCGGCGCGTCGGAGTGGCGAAGTCTTCCAACCTTTTTAGGAAAATTAGTCGACGTCGCGTACGGCACTTGGTACCTGATCCCTCCCCGTATAAGTCACTAGCTGACGCATATGAAGTAGCCCTGATACTGGATTATAATTTAGAACCTGTAAGAGTTTTTTGAGATTCAAGCAAATCGAGGACGTTCAACTTCAAAGCGTGCAGGATGTTCAGCTCGACAAAATGACGGCGGAAAATAATTCGGAAGCCCTAAAATAACTCGTCCAGATCCAGTCTTATGACCTTCAATTTGAATTAGGCATAACTCACTGAGCTAAAGTTGCTCTGATACGCGGCCAGATTAGATTTAAAACCTGTAAGACTGCAGTCTCAACTAACCTCGCCATTTTTGAGATTCAAGCAGATCCAAAAGCTAAACTTGAAGAGCGTTGTGTATTGCATGGGATTGGCGTGCCAGGTAACGACGAGTCCAGAGTCCAATTCGGCGCGTGTCTGTCTTGCTATGTTATAAACCTACAAAGTTAGAAGTACGTCAATATTTATAAACCAACAAATAAATCCTTGTCATACGTTGTATGACCCGCCGCGCACGGGTGCGCGGCTCCCCGGCCCTGTATCGTGAACGATAAAGGGGTGAAATTACGACCGTGGGTGTCACGACGTGATACAAATAAATCCTTCCACAGAACTTTACGCTCAATCGAAGTTCTATTGGGAAATAATTAAGACTGTTCGATTTTCTGTTTTCTTTTACCGTCCAATTTTCGTTATGAACTGAGACTGAGGGTTACTGGACCAATTAATTATAATCCTGGATAATTATAATGTTAAATGTTGATAGAAACCAAACTTAAAAAGTGAAAACATACAGCATCAAAATTTTTAAAACAAGCAATTGTCATCATAAAATATTCACGTTTTATCATATTTACAGATTATAATTAGTTTTAAGTTTTGTTGATATGCGTCAATAATTTCTGAATATAACATAATAATCCATCACAACCAGACCTCAATTTTACGCGGTTTTCCATTTTAAAACGGCTTCAGTTGTGCTGGTTCCATAAATTAAATACTTTATGATTCGAAATTCAACAGGCGCCATCTTCTTGTTCTAATTCTATGGATGTCATTGTAATCTAAAGATAATCAATTTTGACTTAAAGAGCCAATTTTAATTACAGCTTATTTGAGATAAAGTTATCTCGAGGGTCGATAATAGGAATGAATATTAACTTCAAGGACAGTGGCCTTGGTCATTCCTATTACTGCCAACACTACAACTGGTAATTGGTGCACACTGCATTATAAGCATACGTTATGTAGTGCGCGCATTTTCCGACCAACAGCAGTGTTTTAAAGGTCTGACTGTGCTAACAATCAATATTTTCATACTAAAACCCGTAAACTAAAACAATTACACCGTAAAATGGCTCAGTAAACGTCTAAACAGAACTTACAATTAGCAATACCAAATTAACCAATTCTGCAAATTTGAGTTCGTTACTGTAAATCTAACTAGAAATTGTCCACGGGAGTCAAAGGTTAGATACCTCTAGTTCTCACGACACTACAATGTGTACAGGTCACATGTGTACACTGTACAGGTCACATGTGTACATGTCACATGTGTACATGTCACATGTGTACAGGTCACATGTGTACAGGTCACATGTGTACATGTCACATGTGTACAGGTCACATGTGTACAGGTCACATGTGTACAGGTCACAGGTGTACAGGTCACATGTGTACAGGTCACATGTGTACAGGTCACATGTGTACAGGGCACATGTGTACAGGTCACATGTGTACAGGTCACATGTGTACAGGTCACATGTGTACAGGTCACATGTGTACAGGTCACATGTGTACAGGTCACATGTGTACAGGTCACATGTGTACAGGTCACATGTGTACAGGTCACATGTGTACAGGTCACATGTGTAATTGTGTACAGCACGTTACGTCATGTGTGTCATGTGCAGGGCTGTGGTGATGTCCTCAAAGTTCACGTTAGTCAAGTTAGCTCCACGCAGGTTAGTGTTGTACAGCTCAGCTCCATTTAGATCGCACCCCTAAAAAGTGAGACGGGTTAATTTTTATTATTATCTGTATGTGATATTTGATTATAACCCGTATGTGATATTGTCGGTGGACGCTCTAATAATATTAGCTAATAATATAACCTACCTCCAAATCAGCACCAGCAAGACAAGCTCCCTTGAGCGAACTGTTCTTGAGGCAGGACCCTCTCAAGTTGACCACTCTCATGTTTACCCCTGCTAGGTTAGAATTCTGAAACACAGTAATTGATTAAACAATTAGAGAAGCTGTACGGGGGGGGGGGCTGTAGCTATGGTAACAGGGGGGGGGGGGGGCTGCAGCTATGGTAACAGGGGGGGGGGGCTGTAGCTATGGTAACAGGGAGGGGGGCTGTAACTATGGTAACAGGGGGGGGGGCTGTAGCTATGGTAACAGGGGGGGGGGGGGGCTGTAGCTAGGGTAACAGGGGGGGGGCTGCAGCTATGGTAACAGGGGGGGGGGGCTGTAGCTATGGTAACAGGGAGGGGGGCTGTAACTATGGTAACAGGGGGGGGGGGGGCTGTAGCTATGGTAACAGGGGGGGGGGCTGTAGCTAGGGTAACAGGGGGGGGCTGTAACTAATAACTATGGTAACAAGGGGGGCTGTAACTATGGTAACAGGGGGGATGTAGCTATGGTAACAGGGGGGGGGGGCTGTAGCTTAGACCGGTTCATAAAACAAAAATGTTCTTGAATAATTATGAGTATATTCTTATCTGTTGATCCCTAGGTTCAAATACCACCAAAAAAAATTTCAAGTTCCAACTCTTTCATCTTAGTCCCGCTCCGGCCACGCCCATATTTTTTACCAAATTTTAACAGGTAAAATTCTCTATATCGTCAATTTAGTCATGAAGGAGCATAGAAGGAGTTCTAAATGTATGTTACTTCAATATAAACAGTAGGAAAAGGTTTACTTTGGTCGAGGTTTTAAGTCTCTACGATGTCGGGAAGTTCCCGCATGGAGTTTGCGGGTTGCGCTGAATCGCGGGATTCACTGCGCAAAAACGGAAGGTCGTAGAGACATGAGATCTTGACTAAAGTTAACCATTTTCCACCATTGCTATTAGAGCATGACACTTCCAGAACCTTTAACACACTCCTTCATCCCTAAATCGGTAGTTATGTGAATTTTGCCTGTAAAAATATATCATGTTTTACTGATATCAACTAACATTGTTAGCTTTTAAATCAAAATAAATCATAATGCCCCCTACAAAATGTACACACAGTACGAGAATATATAGAAAGAAAGGTCTTCCTTGAATTTCACATTGAACTTTGATCAGATTCTGGAATCGCTCATCATTTCTCGATTGTTCTCCGATGAAGTCAGCACTGCCAAAAACCAAGTTCTGATTTAGATAGACTTGGTTTTCGGATCTCCGTATGTTCAGAAGCGGGCCAGAAGGGATTCAGTTACCAGAGGAATATCTTCGTGGAACAAGGAAATTAATGAGGTCTTCATTAAATTTTTCATAATTCGTCACTGACAGGATGAGCATTGACAAGATCCACTGATTACTTCATACTTTCATAGCTCGTCATTGATAAGATCAGTAATAATGAGATCTTATGATTACTTCATAGCTCGTAACTAACTGGACTAGCATAACATGACTAACGACTCGTTAGTAACGAGATCCAATCATCTCTTAATGATACGTCAAGACAAGGTCAGTAAATAACTATAAATATCGAAGAAAGTAGCTTACAATTTACAGAGTTCTAATGCCTTCTTCACAACTATCGGCTATGAACGGAACAGATGAATCTCTTCTTTGGCCTCATCCTTTTGAATGACTCAGTCCCTCAACTAGATACAACTTAGGACTAGGAGGAACTCTCGTAGGATCCTTTAAGAGGAAGTATTCTTCAGTCAGCTAAAATTCTTTTGTAGGATGTTACCACTTATCATATCAGTTATCCAGCATAATCCCACTACTCGACCAGCTCATTCTTTAATCTTGAAAGTGACAGCTGCAGCATGAGCTATATTTTGATGGTCGGTCCTCTGGTAGATGAATCCCTTCTGGCCCGCTTCTGAACATACGGAGATCCGAAAACCAAGTCTATCTAAATCGGAACCTGCTGAGTCAGCAGGTTCTGGATTAGATAGACTTGGTTTTTGGCAGTGCTGACTTCATCGGAGAACAATCAAGAAATGATGAGCGATTCCAGAATCTGATCAAAGTTCAATGTGAAATTCAAGGTAGACCTTTCTTTCTATATATTCTCGTACTGTGTGTACATTTTGTAGGGGGCATTATGGTTTATTTTGATTTAAAAGCTAACAATGTTAGTTGATATCAGTAAAACATGATATATTTTTACAGGCAAAATTCACATAACTACCGATTTAGGGATGAAGGAGTGTGTTAAGGTTCTGGAAGTGTCATGCTCTAATAGCAATGGTGGAAAATGGTTAACTTTAGTCAAGATCTCATGTCTCTACGACCTTCCGTTTTTGCGCAGTGAATCCCGCGATTCAGCGCAACCCGCAAACTCCATGCGGGAACTTCCCGACATCGTAGAGACTTAAAACCTCGACCAAAGTAAACCTTTTCCTACTGTTTATATTGAAGTAACATACATTTAGAACTCCTTCTATGCTCCTTCATGACTAAATTGACGATATAGAGAATTTTACCTGTTAAAATTTGGTAAAAAATATGGGCGTGGCCGGAGCGGGACTAAGATGGAAGAGTTGGAACTTGAAATTTTTTTTGGTGTTATTTGAACCTAGGGATCAACAGATAAGAACATACTCATAATTATTCAAGAACATTTTTGTTTTATGAACCGGTCTACTGTAGCTATGGTAACAGGGCCGGGGGGGCTGTAACTATGGTAACAGGGCCGGGGGACTGTAGCTATGGTAACAGGGCCGGGGGGGGGGGGGTTATGACGATGTTATTGTTTTTAACTAGCTGTCCCCAACACTCCAACAGATCCAACTTTATACAGTTACAGCTCTCAAATATGAAACATAGCTATGTTATAAGACTTGTGTGTACTGACTGGGCCACCCTGTAGTTGTCCACACAATCTATTTAATAATAATTACCTCCAGATTGACACTTTTCATCTGAGCTCCGAGAAGGGACGAGGGTCTGAGTTTGGAGTCCTCGAAATTACAACGTACCATGCTGGCGTCGTCTAACACAGCTCCCTCCATGCTGACTCCGGCTGCGTTAGCTTCCTGCAGACAGTGCTACTGTCAATCATATGTTGCTTTTAAAGTGTCACGTGTGTATTTCAGTGTCACGTGTGTATGCGGACTACATCATCAGGGATATAAATATTCACAGTAAGGAATACATATTACGTAATATCAATTCTCGCCCAAACTTACACAAGTCTAATTACTGATTTAGCGAGTATCACTTCTGGAGTCAACTAAGTGAGAAGCAGAATACTAGGTTAAAATGAAATGGGAGATTGTACCGTAACGCGTTACGTACCGTCTAGCTAGGGTCTTAATAACAGCACCATCGTAATAATTTCAAACCCCTTCAATTCTCAGTTATAACGTAATATGTAAACGCTTGAAATCTAATATTAACTGTAATCAACTGTACAAGTTACAACTAACATCAAGCCTTGCCCCCCTCATGTCGGCTTTGTCAAAGTTAGCCCCATACACATCACTCTTAGTGAGATTAGTCCCGACCAGTTTACTGTGGGAGAAGTTAACATGTCTCAGATCCATGTTGCTCAGATCTGCTCCGGAAAAATCTAATCCCTGAGGAAAAGGCGCTGTTTTAGTAGTGCGGAAATAAGAGGGGTATTGGTTGGGCTCAAGCCAATGACCATATATGGCATTATACATGACTTAAACGGTTAAATTGCAATTGTCTGAATTAAGGGGGGGGGGGGGGGGGGGGGAGTTATGAGCTAAAAACTATATGCCCATATTTGGGCATACGCACTAAATTTGATCGATTTTGGCCCATAAATTGGTCAAATATCAATATTTTTGAATGAAACTAACTTTATATGAAAGGTAAGCCTAAACTACACATTCTCTATGATTATCAGATCAATATCTACCTAACTGTGGATTCTGTGTTCAAATAATCACAAAAAATGAACAAAATCGCCCATATCTCAGTTCGCGATATTTGCAAAACTGACTTCGCTCAAAACAATAGAACTCAATAGGGTTTCAATATTTTTTCATGAAATTTTTAGAATCGACGTAGAATTGTCTCATGACCTTAAGTTTTGGGACAGAATTTTGAGTTAGGCCTTTAAAAAAATTTGGCGGCCAAATTCTAAAATTTGCCGGGCATTTTTCAGAATTTGGCCGCCAAATTTTTTTAAAGGCCTAACTCAAAATTCTGTCCCAAAACTTAAGGTCATGAGACAATTCTATGTTGATTCTGAAAATTTCATGAAAAAATATTGAAACCCTATTGAGTTCTATTGTTTTGAGCGAAGTCAGTTTTGCAAATATCGCGAACTGAGATATGGGCGATTTTGTTCATTTTTTGCGATTATTTGAACACAGAATCCACAGTTAGGTAGATATTGAGCTGATAATCATAGAGAATGTGTAGTTTAGGCTTACCTTTCATATAAAGTTAGTTTCATTCAAAAATATTGATATTTGACCAATTTACGGGCCAAAATCGATCAAATTTAGTGCGTATACCCAAATATGGGCATATAGTTTTTAGCTCATAACTCAGTCATTTTTTGTCTAATCTTGATGAAACTTCATATACGAGTTCAGGGGACCACTAGCTACAAGTAAAGCACCTAAAATCTGGGTTTTGGGCATGTTCAGGTTATTTGGCTAAATTGGGCCTGATATGGACCAAATATGGGCGTGGCTGCCCCGCGGGCACCGTTTGGCGGTTGGGGTCCGGGACCCCCTCAAAAGTTTGGTCACTGGTCCTAGTTTGTTGGTCAACTGCTATCTCGAAACCAAGTTTTACAAAAAAATCAGGGGGAACCCCCCCCCCCCCCCCCCCCCCCCCTTAAGGCTACAATTATAGCATATTATACATGGTGACATGTCACATGGTGTATGTATATGGTATATACTATATATGGTGATCACTTCGGAACCAAAGTAAACAGAAAACACACACACACACACACACACCTCTTCTAGTTCTCCTTCATCATCCGAGTGTGCATTATGTACACAAATCACACGAATCAGTTTCATTTAAAATAATTAGAACCATAGTAAGCAACAAAAATACTCGTTCGCTTACCCTGAATCGTAATATGTAATTGGAAGGAGTGGTAATAAGAGCTCTGATCACATCATCTCTGCAAAGTGGTTCTAGAACTTTCCTCTCACTCGCCAGCATTAACTCTTCTATCTTCCCAGTTAATTCAGTAAAACCAAAAAACTTCGCCTCCAATAGAACACCTGTAATATCACAATATTAATTTCTGAGCAATCATATTTTAAGCCAATTTTACTTACTATTTAAAAGAACATAAGACGTATCCATTGTCACGTTGTGAATTGCTAAATATTATTAACGATTATTAACACAATTAAAATGTGATATATAAATTGGAATATACTTACCCTGAGGATTAATGTCTTTGTCCAGAACTATTTCTCCGTTCCTCAAATAATCCAAGAGAGGTAGGAAGTGTTTTGGAGATCTGTCTATCAGATAAGCTCCGTTACTGTCCGTCTTGTTCTTCCAGTTACTATCTGAAACAATAGCTCATGTTAATGGAGAGTTATACTACTTGGCTTGTTCATCAGGACACGTATATCATCAGTATATTATCAGCCGAAAAGTATCAAATAATAAGAAATCTGTGTGTAGTGCGCCTCAGCTGCATTTCAAGGAAAGTCAATTTGATGTTTACACTTAAGATATCTATCGGGAGAGTTCGATGCACTGCAAAAATTGCATATGCATGTTCATAAACAAGGCCCGGGCCATGCTGCATGCATGCAATATAATGCATGCAATTCAATTCAAGCGAAATTCGGAAATATACCTAAAAGTCCTAAAAATGGTCCTCGCGTCTTACGTAAGGAGAACTATTTGTGCTCGCGCAGAATTGTGATGTGGAGCCGCGCGCTTAATGCGAATGTAAGGAAAATTTGACAACCTTCAGTTAATGTTGCTTATCTGTTGTCAACAATTAAATGCTTATGTTGATATTTACAACCATCGACGGGTTCTGCGGAATTTTTAAAGAATGCAGACTTTAACAAAGTGGTAAAAAGTGGAACAGAAGTACGTAGCCAACGGTTGTCAGTATTCGGGGGGACAATTTTACGAAGCTAGCAAATGCGTGGCGGCCATATTGGATTTTGAGGAAGGAGACCTGAGCCGAGACACGGACACACGAGTCGTATCGAGTGTAAGTACACACGGAAATTTGATCTCATGTCATTGAAGTGATCAGAGATTATCAGCACATTTTTCAAGTTTGTATGAATAGAATTTATGTTGAATAGACATCAGACATGTTTCATTAAAATCATGTTAACATGATGTTAGTCTTACACAAAAACAATCAAGTGCGCGGCGCAAGAGTCATTGTATAAATATAATAAATTGTACAGTGTATGCGTGTGGCGGGAGTAGTACACTAAATACATTACACGCGAGACTTACCGTTATCAAACATACGTGCTAACATCGTCTCCTTTTCTTTTGTTAGAGTACGCCTGAATGGGGGATGGTGAACAATTGGGGTTTGTAAAGAACTTCAGCTTAAACCAAAGTGACTGATTGAATCGCTTTGAAGCTGCAAACAGCAAAAGGTTGACAGGACAAAATCTCCAAAATTTACTGATATCGCGTCGGTCGAAATATAAAAATATAATCACGTGATCCAACTAACCATGTGGTTTGGACGATGTGTCCCCCGACGTTCAAAGTTATCCAACTGTTGTCATGAAATGGGCTGGAAGTTAAGCTCCTTAATCTCAGCTCATCTCCGTCCCTAGGATGGTTATCTGCAAATAGAAGGGATACATATCTCGTATCATGTAAAATTCGGATTGGAGTAACATTGAAACGTTATGTTAAGTAATTCCTTTCCTGATGAGAGCATTTTTCCTTGTCGCATCAAACGGGATCAATACAAATTTACACAAGAATACATATCTCGTATCAGCTGCTGTATCAACATTTTCAAAATGGTATATGTACAAAAGCAATAAATATATAATTATGACTTTAACCAAGTGCCAAGACTCTGTGAAAAAGGTTCAAAAATATAAAAGGCAGCATCCTGTGCGCGTGTAGATTTCCATATGGTACACTGTGAACTCAGAGCAAAGTTTACAGTGCCGGGATAATTTCATTTCCTTAGGACCTCTTTAACTCTTTATGGGAGTTGAGCGGGTTACCTTTTAAGGTGAACACTTACTTAACGCATTATATCATATATGTATATTAGAAGCTAAACTACACCTAGGTAGAGCAATAATTTAATATGCATGTTAATATATGTATATTGTATAATGTATATTGAAGTAACAACGAAGTACAAATAGTTCGGGGACAACTTTGTCACAATTAGAAATAATAATATTTCCTTGTTTGGTTTGATCATTATTTAAAGCTGTGGAAGAAATAATGAAGAAGTGAAATCCTAATTGACTCAATTAAGCTTTAAACATACTCACAGATTTTTTCAGCTTTAAAGTTTTAATTCAATTATTAATGCGAACTAAAAAAGGAATGGACATCAAATAAACTAAGCAACAAATAAACTCAACAAGGCTCACCTGATCAGGTCTATGCCAGTAACCACAGCCCCACTAGTGGTCAGTATGTCAAACTCCTCCTCTAATTTGAAGGAGGAGGTGAGGAGATCAGTCAACTTGTCCCAAGTCTCCGGGACGAGAAGGAGGTGGGTTTCTGTTTTCCAGCTCACTGACACACGCTGCTTAGACGTGCTCAGTATCATCGCTATCAGGGCAACTCTGGTTACTTGTAATGTTACTTATAATGTTACTATGGTTACTTATAATGTTACTATGGTTACTTTTAAACGGTTACTATGATTTCGTTTAACCGGTTACTATGATTTCGTTTAACCGGTTACTATGTGCTACTATGGTTATTGTTGCTTCTCAGCTACTGGTTACTGACTTGGTAGAGGGTGGCGTGATCACAAATTATAGGGGTGACTCTGCCCTGGATATTTAAATTCGATACTCAGAATTATGGGTCAACTTTATTCTATGTACTAATATGATTCAAGGAGACTAATAATTCAACTACGATCTGATTCAAAAGTCATCAAAAATAAAGAAAAGTAAGCTGAAAATCAGATCAACTGATAAATAAGTTACGCAATCACACATTAAATCTATTACATTTATTGAGGTATGATCCCGAGCCTCAAAGCTATGACAAATGACAAGGCTGCAGGCCAAACGCCCAGCAGTGAAGAAGCAGAGAAAAAGAGAAAGAAGCTCTCAGACAAAGGTACTGTTAAATCAAAAAAACCTATACTAAAGATTAAAGATGTTTCTAAAGATGTTTCTAAAGATGTTTCTAAAGATTTTTCTAAAGATTTTTCTAAAGATTCTAAAGCCCCTCCAAAGAAAAGTGCCATTAACCCAAAAGCAGTCCCCAAGTTTAATCTCCAAGGGCTGTGTTGTCGCTGTAAAAGTGATAACATGGCCTATGAGTCCATTTCTTGTCAGATATGTAAAGACGTTTTCCACGCATGTTGTAAGGATAAGGCTGGCACACTTATGCCCACGTCTATTTGTACACGGACTTTCCTGACGAATATTTTGCCAGTTATTCACAAATACAGTAATACATATTCCCAAAGATATGGTGACTTTGGCTGGACATGTCCTAACTGTAAGAAAGTTCTCCTTGCAAAAACTGCTGTTAAAACTGCGGACTCAACTTGTAATACAAGCATGGATAGCACCAAGAGTGTGGCTAGCACTGAGAGTGTGGCTAGCACTGAAAGTGTGGCTAGCACTGAAAGTGGGGCTAGTATCACCACTGATACAACTTCCAGCAATGGAGATGAGAAGACATTGATTGAAACTTTGAGCAATTTTAAAGTAAGTTTACTGTCAAGTGTAGAAGAACTTATTTCCGTCAAACTTAAATCACAAATAGATTCTCTGCTCACAGAAGTACCAAATCTTACACAAAGATCCAGCACCCCTAGTAGTGCATCATCTATCCCTAGTAGTGCATCAGCCCTAGCCCTGCAAACATCTAGTTCTTTAAGTGCTTGTCCAATGAAGTCTACCAGTTCACTTTCATCTTCAAAGAGCTACAGTGTTGCGTTGTCTCCTGAATCGGCTATAGATAGCCCGACTAGTACTGCTACTGAGAACTTCATAGAACTAACCAAGAAGGAAACTCCTATGCAAAAACTTCCCTCTGACAATACCCATAATAATGCTCCTGATAATCATGTTATCGTCCTCAATGTAGAAGCTAGTAATATTAATCTTGAGGAAGCAGGAAAGCTAGCTAGCAAAGCCCTTGGTACAATACCCATGATCTTCTTGACCCCTAAACCAAAGACAGGCAAAATTGTTATCTCCTTCCCTTCAGAAAAAGATAGAGAGAATGGGAAAATAGCCCTTGCAAACTCATCAGCTGTAACTTCGTCCAAAATCACTGTTAATGATGCAAAGAAAATGTTCCCGAAAGTCACAGTTACGAATATTCCAAACAACTTAATCTCCCACATTGTCTCTGAAAATCTATCAGTTCCTGAATTTCGAGAGAAGGTTAAAACCTTCATGGAAGTGAAGCTTCTGGAAAAGAATCAATATGTTAAAGATTTGGTGACCAAGCATGATAGAACATTTAAAGTTGTGTATGTCAATTATGGAAGAGAATACACTACTGTTGGGATTAAAGTGTCTCCTGATATAAGGCATTTCCTGTTAAACAATCAGTCCATTTACATAGGAAATTCCAGATGTAAAGTAGTTGATAGATTTGATCTTAAGCAGTGCTTCCGATGTCAGAAACTGGGACACATTTCATCTCAGTGCCAGGAAACTGATGTTATTTGTATGTATTGTAGTGCATCACACATAACCCGGGCTTGTCCCTACAAAGAGGTCAGAAGAAGTCACAGATGCACCAACTGCTCACACTCCACTTATGAATCATACAGAGAATCTTGTAACACCCATCACTCTGGTGCTGAAAACTGTCCCATCATAATGCTGGAGAAAGAGAGTCTTCGACAAAGAACAGAGTACTCAAAAACATGTAAAGACTACGCTTCTCAACCTAAATGTCGGACTGTTTAACACGAGGTCACTATGTAATAAAACTGCACAAGTATTTGAGCAACTGTCTGACTCCAATATTAATGCCTGTTTCCTGACAGAAACTTGGCTACGTAAGGGAGATACGTCAAAAATAGCGGAAATTAAAGACCTAGGTTATAATATTGTCCACCAATCTAGAGCTGGTAGAGGAGGTGGTGTCGCTATTGCCTTTAAGAAAGATCTTAGCTTCAATAAACGCCCTACAAAGACCCATAAATCCTTCGAACATGTTGAGTGTGTGCTGAAGTCAAGTTCCAATGACCTTCTTCGTTTCTGCTGTGTCTATCGATCTTGTACGGCTAAAATGTCCAAAATGACAGACTTTTTACGGGAATTTGATGAATATCTTGACAGTCTAACTCACCTTCCAGGTAGACTGATCATTGCTGGAGACTTCAATATCCATGTCGAAGACCTCACTGATCCTGATACGATAAATTTTATCCATCTCATATCAAACTATGGCCTCATCCAGCATATTTCCAGTTCAACACACATTGGGGGTGGAATCTTAGACCTTGTTCTTACTAGAAGCAATGCGTGTGATATGTTGAACATAAAAGATATAAATGTAGCTAAAACAGTAACAACATCAGATCACTACTTCGTAAATTTCTCTATTGCCTTTCCTCACCACAAAGGAAGCAACAAAGAAGATATGGTGGGCAGAAAGATATCAGATATAGACATGAATCTTTTCAAAGAGGATCTGTTGCTATCTGACATAAATGACCCCAACAAGTTTATTGACTGCAACTCTGCCACAGAACTCTATAACAAAGAACTTCGCAGAATTCTTGATAAACATGCTCCCTTATCTGTTTTAGCATTAATCCTGATCAAAGCAAGTGGGTGGACACAAAATGTCAAACTGCCAGAAGGAAACGAAGAAAAGCTGAACGTGACAACAGGAGACTACAAACTGCAGATTCAAAATTGGACTATAAAAAAGCTGTTAAGCATGCTGAGGCAGTTATAAACACCACTAGACAGCTATACTATGAAAATCGTCTGCAAAGCTGTGAGGACAATAAAAAAGATACCTACAAAATAGTCAATCAGCTAATGGATCGGGACATATCTAAAAACTTGAAGCCTAATAACAAACCTGCTGAAACTCTATGTGAGGAGATGAAAGAGTTTTTCAATGATAAAGTGGAAAAGATTTACTCTGCCATTAACAATGATACTGCAGCTGACACTCTAACTTGACCACTCAGAACCATTTCAAGGTGAAGCCTGGAGCCAATTTGAAACCATAAGCGACAATGATCTCAAAAAGATTCTTTCTGAACTTAACAAAAAAGAATGTGAAGAGGACCCCATCCCTCTAAAACTTCTAATGCAGTGTTTTAATGAAGTTAAACCAATTGTGTCATTTATTATCAATGACTCACTTGTCACTGGAAAATTTCCGTCAGTCTTAAAGAGTGCTCTTGTCAGACCAGCCATCAAAGATGATAAAGGAGATGTCAATAGCTTCAACAACTATAGACCAATTAGTAACTTACCTTTCCTCTCGAAACTCATTGAAAAGAGTGTCCAGAAACAGATGACCAAACATCTTGACTATCACAATCTTCATGCTGAGCATCAAAGTGGTTATAGGTCAAATCATAGCTGCGAAACTGCAACCCTTACCATCTACAATGATCTTCTTTGTATCAGTGACATGAAAAGCAAGGTTATCCTCCTCCTTTTGGACCTCAGTGCTGCTTTTGATACTGTAAATCATCACTTGCTCCTAAAAAAACTAAAAAAGGACTTTGGTTTTGAAGGTACTGTTCTCGAATGGTTTACATCATACCTTAATAACAGATCCTTCACAGTAACTATTGATAAATCAAGATCAAAGAGATGCTTCCTTAGAATTGGAGTCCCGCAAGGTTCAATTCTAGGTCCAATTCTGTTTATACTTTACACAAAGGAGCTCAATCAGATCGCAAAGAGACATGGATTTAACATCCATATGTACGCAGATGACACTCAACTGTACATTGAGTTTAACCCACTATTTCGAGATCTGTCAACAATCGAAGAGAGAATAACAAATTGTTTTGAAGATATTAAAACCTGGATGACCCAAAATAAACTCAAACTGAACCAAAACAAAACAGAAGCTCTTGTAGTACAGACCAAGAACAGTTACTCTTCATGTCCAGTCGATTCAATACAACTTGACAATGCAGCTGACCCTGTGGAGGCATCCCGCACAGTGAAAAGTTTAGGTGTCCTATTTGATCAATTCCTAACATTTGAAGATCAAATAAATTCAATTATCAGTTGCTGCAACATCCATCTGAGGAACCTTCGAGTTATAGGCTCGAAGCTTAACTATGATCTAAAAAGACAGCTCATTCACTGCTTGATCTTTTCAAAACTAGACTACTGCAATGGACTCCTATACGGTTTACCCGATCTTCTCATAAAGAAACTCCAGAAGGTACAAAATTCCTGTGTTCGATTCTTGTTTGGTTGGAAAGCTATCAAAAAATGGGACAGTGTCACTCCATTCCTGAAAAAAGCCCATTTTCTTCCAATACGACAACGAATAGAGTATAAGATTGCTCTAACCGTATTCAAATGCGTCAACAACATAGCTCCGGAGTATATCACCAAATGTATTGACATCAAGAGTCAACCTGTACGTGTACTAAGAACTGAAGAAGACTATTTCCTCCTAAATGTTCCTCCTATTTCAAACTATAGTAAAACCGAGAGAAGTTTCAGCTACTGCGGACCCTCTGTTTGGAATCAGCTTCCTTATCAATTGAGAACACTAACTGATATCGTCTTATTTAAAAAGAAACTAAAAACTCATCTCTTTGAAAACGTATTTGTATAAGTATCATGTATTACCTCTCTCATAAAATCCATACTTCATAAAAATAAGTTCTTATGTACATGTTACTCATGAGTCGCTTTAGATGGTTTGAACTGAATCTTTGGGTTTTGAGTTCTTTATGGCTATAAAGCGATGTATAAATTCCTACTTATTATTATTATTATTATTAATTTAAAAATTTCACACGTATAAAAATATAGATTAATTTTCAATTATAATAAACTCTGAGATTCTGAAATAATGTGAAGTTAAATCTCTGATGAAACATGATATGCATGCCGATAGTAAAATTAAGCATTTTGTAACTACGGACTCAATCTGAGATTAAACACAAAAAAGGTCATTAAGAATGAATAAATCTATAAACAAAATCTCCAAACATCTCTTCAAACCAAGATTCAAACAATCAACAAAAAATTTCATCGGTACAAAGACTTCAGCTCAAACTCCAGTTCAGGAACAAACATACCAAGAAAATGATCAACAATAAGAAACAACATGGCTTTGTTAACAACTTGGTCCGCCAGACTATCAGCAATGTTCAGCAGAGCTTGTTCAGTACCAAACAAACTCAACAACCTCTCACGACCCACCTTCTCCTTGATTCTCCGAACAAACTCCTCACGACCCACAACAAGTTCAGAACCTTCTTCTGGTTCCAACTCGAAGAGAAGCTGGTTTAGTTTTGTGAGGTATACAAACCAGTAGTTCTCTGAGGTCAGCGTGTTTATCTTGTTGATAAAGTAACGGTTAATTGGTAATCTCAGCACAGTTGTAAGTACTTGAGCTAGACCGTATGTGCCCAGAATTGTTTCTGATTTGGAGAAAGCAAGCTGAATGGTATGAAGGAGAGTGGAAGCAAACTGACTGTCCCTGATACTGACACAAGTATTCTCACGGTTGTAGTACTGACAGGGGGAGGGTACACACGGTCCTTTCTCACCTGCCTCCATCTTTTCTCTGATGTATTTCTCCAGTGTGTCCGATATGTCAGCGCTGGGAGGTGCTTTCAGGAACTTAGCGTGATCGTGAGAGAGCGCAGTCAGTTTCTTGGTTTTCCGAATACTGTCCTTGTACGAGGCGAACATCTCAGAGCTGATATCCAGCAAACTCTCATCGCAGGTTTCTGCTCTGGTGTCGGACAGGGAGAGACCTCTGGAGAAGCTCCTCAGCATCTTTGTTATGTTCTTTCCTATCTTAGATTCGATAAAACTAGAACTCTTAGCTTTGAAGACAGTGATCTCCTCACAGTTGTATCCCAGAAACTCCTTCATATTCTCGCTCTGCAGGACCTCATCATACTGGCAGATCTCGTTAAGATACTGTGTAAACAGATCTCGTCTACTACTCAGAAACTCCCTGTCGAGTCTGTTGAAGGGGAAGGAGGAGAGGGGTTCTTTGCTGGGGAAGTTCACTTTCTTTACAAACGGTTTAGTAGTCTTATCCTTTAGTAAGCGTTCGTGTAGAGCAGCGAACTCATTAAATCTCCGACCCAGCAGATGGATAGAAATATCACTTTGATCTCCGAGGTCAGGATTCCACAGTTTATCAGAATATTCGATAACATAAACAGCAAACCTGGTGATACCTACCCCAAACAACCTGACTTTAGGAATCCTGAACTTATTGGACCTTTCTCCAGGACTGCAATCTAGAGAGGCGAACTGTATAGTTGTGGAGGTGTCATCCTCTTCAAGCTCCTCCGATATTATCTCGAAACACTTCTTATCATGAGGCTTGTTCCTCAGAAATTCCTTGTCGTCGTCACTGATTCCAGAGAACTCCTCTTCATCATCGTCCTCCACCAGCTCCACTATCAGTTTGTAGAGGGTGGAAGGATCGGAGAAGGTCTCCACCAGCACGTTTAGCAGCTGTGAGGAGAGGATCTCACGGAGGACCGCCCGCAGTGCTTCACACTCGTAATTAACCTTGGACAGACTGATCCTCATGAGGAGATCACATATGGCGCGCACGTACTGATCCTGAGACTGGTGGTTGAGGGCAGCAGTGTGTTGGATCTGAGTGAGAGTGGGGGAGGTGGAGTTTACCACTTCTTCTAACCTCACCAAGTATACCCCCATTACGTGCTCTATGATATCATACTTGTTAACAAGTCCACATCTGTAGTAGACTTGGTGTATAGCCTGCACCAGCTCCAATCTCACCAGTCTTGGGAAACTCTTACTGGTGGTGATGCCAGCGTGCCAGCTTAACACAAACTTCTCAATCACATTGTCCAGCAGGATGTATATAGGCCGGGATATGACCGAGTAGTTGAGGTTATCAGGGAAGGGTTTAAAGTCCCTGATAACAAAGAAGTTCCTCAGACAATCCTGAGGGTAAGTCCAGCTCTCCATGAAGGTGTCTACCTTTAGAGAGGTAAGTATAGAGTACTTAGAGAGTAGAGTACTAGCGAGGTAGAGGGTAGATACAATAGATAACAAGACCAGGATGTAGGAGGAGGCTCCACATGTCACATACCAGACAGAGATAAGGGTAAGGGAGCATCTGATTAGGAATAGAGGGGAGAGTTCGGGCCGGTACAGGGCCTGGAGGTTATTCATTGTTAGGTAAGTGGGTCCTGGCTGTCCGTCATGCTATGGGAGTGTAGTTTTTCATTTGAGAAAATTACATTACATCATTGATATTTTCAGTTGAATAGAATATTCAGTATTGATATTTTGTCAACGGAATCAAGTGTTATTGCATTAAAAGAAAACAAAGAAACGATTATATTTAAATAGCCATTTTGGCAGCGCATGTTAGGATAATACACTCAAATTCAAATCTGCCCATAAATTAATTTAATTTATTTGTTTACTGTTTAGTAGCAGTATTGATGACTAATTTTAATTGAAATTCGACTGCCATATTTCGTAGCCGGTAATTATCAGACAAGATCAATAACGCGGAATGTTCGTAAAATTTAAATACGAAATAAATACTACGTACGTTAAATAAATACTACGTACGTACGTTAAAAAATAATTAGCTTATTCTTAGGTTGGTATGAAAATGGAACGAGGGTAAGAACAAAAAACATAAAAAAGGTGAGCTTTAACATATACAGTCATACCTCAATATACCGGGCCTCTCGAGGGATAATAAAAGTGCAGGGTGTATTTAAAAAAATCAAAACCCGGTATAGAGCTATACTCTACTACTAGTCGAGAGGTTTAACCTGATCCCAACGCCCAGTTTCTGTCAAATAACCTGTCAAGCGTCACATATACCCCCATTTAAAGTTCTTTAAGTCTTATCATAGTTGCAATAAAGCTTGTACTTCAATCACCACTAAATGCGGTATGAGATGGTGTAAATCACATTTTTTGCAATTAAGCTAATTAACTACAAGTTTGGGGGAATATATATGGAGGTACCCGGTATATAGAGGCATGGTAATTGGTATATACTTATAGAGGTTCCACTGTAATTGGTTATGTTGTATGACATAAAATTCAAACCTTGATAAGGAATAATAACAAGATATATTTGATAAAATAATGATCCAAAAGTCGAACTCACGATAATATAAAAAGTAAAAACCTGAAAATAATCTGATAAATTAGTAGAAAAATCAACATAAAATTGAATAACTTATGATGCAAAACAATGTAAGAAAACAAACTATTTCTACGCTCCATTAACGGAATGTTTGGACAATATCTCCTCCAGAGAAGTAACACCTTGGTGGAAATTCTGCACGGATTTATGCAGTCCAGCTCCCAAATCTTTACCCGCTCTTGTCCGGATGTAGTCTGTGTAGAGACGTAACAGCTTATCCTCACAATGTTGCTTCATTTCTGCTATTACCTGGGATATACGAAACATAGATAATAATATGTAGGTGATAAATAACGTGTGCTCTATTTCGCATGTACACTGTACACACTACACACTATACACTATACAGGGTCATGTACACACTACACACTATACACTATACAGGGTCATGTACACACTACACACTATACACTGTACAGGGTCATGTACACACTATACATGGTCATGTACACACTATACAGGGTCATGTACACACTATACAGGGTCATGTACACACTATACAGGGTCATGTACACACTGTACAGGGTCATGTACACATTGTACAGGGTCATGTACACATTATACAGGGTCATGTACACACTGTACAGGGTCATGTACACACTATACAGGGTCATGTACACACTATACAAGGCCATGTGTAGAGTGTAGAGTGTAGAGTGTATAGTGTAGAGTGTAGAGGGGCCATTTACATTGCCAGGTAATACAGGTAGTTATAAGCTAGTATAATGAATAAATTAGACCACCTGGACGTCAAATAAATCATCAATATAACAGATACAATTCATAAAACATTTTGCTGGTACGTAAAATAAAGACTGCTTCATCTTAAACGGAAGTAAGTTGAGTTGATAAGTGAGGTTGACTCTCTGTTGTGTACTGATAACATGACTCTACCTGTTGAGTTGATAAGTGAGGTTGACTCTCTGTTGTGTACTGATAACATGACTCTACCTGTTGAGTTGATAAGTGAGGTTGACTCTCTGTTGTGTACTGATAACATGACTCTACCTGTTGAGTTGATAAGTGAGGTTGACTCTCTGTTGTGTACTGATAACATGACTCTACCTGTTGAGTTGATAAGTGAGGTTGACTCTCTGTTGTGTACTGATAACATGACTCTACCTGTTGAGTTGATAAGTGAGGTTGACTCTCTGTTGTGTACTGATAACATGACGCTACCTGTTGAGTTGATAAGTGAGGTTGACTCTCTGTTGTGTACTGATAACATGACTCTACCTGTTGAGTTGATAAGTGAGGTTGACTCTCTGTTGTGTACTGATAACATGACTCTACCTGTTGAGTTGATAAGTGAGGTTGACTCTCTGTTGTGTACTGATAACATGACTCTACCTGTTGAGTTGATAAGTGAGGTTGACTCTCTGTTGTGTACTAATAACATGACTCTACCTGTTGAGTTGATAAGTGAGGTTGACTCTCTGTTGTGTACTAATAACATGACGCTACCTGTTGAGTTGATAAGTGAGGTTGACTCTCTGTTGTGTACTGATAACATGACTCTACCTGTTGAGTTGATAAGTGAGGTTGACTCTCTGTTGTGTACTGATAACATGACTCTACCTGTTGAGTTGATAAGTGAGGTTGACTCTCTGTTGTGTACTGATAACATGACTCTACCTGTTGAGTTGATAAGTGAGGTTGACTCTCTGTTGTGTACTGATAACACCTCAACACTCCCACTTCCCCAATAGCTTCCAACTTATCAGCATCGGACACCATGTTCCTCAGTACCTCATACTCTCCCAGATCTTTCTTCAGACCTTTAACCTGTGTTTTAATAGGATTACTGGAATGTGCACAAAAATGTGTTATAAAAAGAAAGATAATTACATAACAACAGAACTTGCCATCACGTAAGCTTTGCCAGGAAATTTAGTACTGCATATCATTATCATGATTTAATTAAAGCATGAATCAAATAGGCAGCATCTTAACAGTTACCTCCTTGGAGAACGATACATTTTCAATTATATCGAATATAAGTGTGACTTGCTGATCACTGAACCGAGCTGCTAAGAAGTCTCTCATCACCTGCTCCTTTCTGTTATACTCCACTGGATCAGATATCATCTTGTGGTCCAACACATCGTGAAGCCACGCAGCGCTTGTCACAACTTCCTTAGCTCCTGATACAGTTAGAATCAGTTAGCACCCGCTACAACTAGTCAGGACCTTGAATACCAGTTGTATTGAGCTTGTGATGGTGGTATAATTTGGGCGATCAAATAAAGTGCGGTAGGCGAAGAAATACGCTTGAATTACCTTTTTTGTGAAGGTCGGGAATGTCTTCTTTCATAGCAGAGTAGATTTTGGCGGCATTTGCAGCAACTTTTTCAGCATGCTCGTGGTTGTGTGATTCTCCATAACCCTTCGTTAATTCTTTCACTAAGTTCCTTAACATTTCAGATGTCTGCATACCTTGACAAGTTTGTTGATGTCAAATCTCACAACGATAAATCGATTGACACTTTAAAGTTCTTATACTTATTATGAATTATCTGTAATATTACGGCAAAACTTTAAACGACAAAATTATCATTATGTTTTTTCACAGGATTTAAACGAATAAAACACAATGATAATGAAACATGACGTTAACAATACAAACATGGAAAACAAATATTCGGCTTTATTTGACAAAACTGTCAATTTTCTAACGATAAAGCTTACAATTTCTTCTTTATCCCCCTTATCTTTGAAAAACTTCTTTTCGATTTAGATTATATTTCACGATAAACTATGGTTTAATCATAATATGATCCCCAAATATACGCCTATACTCCGTTTGCTAAAAAAGCAAATATTACACGTTAGTTAAATAATTATTTAATCAATTGATCAGATCATTTAAAATGACACAATTATTTGTAACATCTGCTAAGAGGAACTCGAGAGAATACTATTCCATGTGTATTTTATTATTCGCACTTCATGTATAATTCATTATTATTGTGAAAAATTCTAATTTAAGCTCTTCTTGAAAACATACCCAGCCGAATATAAAATCTCTATCGTATAAAAGTTAAAGAAAATATAATACAGATATATTCGTCCGTATAGTATTATATAGCTAGTTCATTTAATGCCTCGCTATTTCTGAATAATTTCATTATTATATCTCAAGTTGTAGTGTTTAACAGCCATTGCCAATAAAATATACTAAAGTTACACGATTACATGAGGCCTGCTGTTCATTACTGACACATTTATTTTGTTGTTTTATTATGGATAATGTTCATTATTGTCTTCATAGAGATTCGATGTTTCTGCGGAGAATGTAAGCCTTACGAAACATTAACGTACTAAATACTTATATTCTTTGATGATACAATATAAATAATAAATGAAAATGAAACCGTTCAAACTCCAATCGAACTTGAAGACTCCTGGATTAGATTGAAGATAAGTGTGGGTCGAATATTCTAGATACCTTAATGTGGTAATAATTTAGCAAAAAAATATAATACATTTTAATTTTACACTACTTTTATTTTGAAGTTCATTGGACTCTTCAGGAAAAATGTATCATACGTGACTGAGAGAAATTATGCAGTGTTATTTGTGCATGAATCTGTTCTGTTATCTAGAAACACATGGTTACAACTTTTAACTTGCGCCACTGAAGATTAAATGTTCGCTTTAGCTTTGCAAGGTGCGTCAAATAAATATCCTATCTTGACAACTACAACATAAACTATTTTCATAAAGAAAATGCGCTACTTTTTAAGGTGATCACCTTATTCCTAAAATAGGTGCGCTGTAACAACAACTAGACGGTGAAGCCAAACCTTGTGTACAACAGTCAACACTACTGGGAATATGATTATAATATAATTCACTTTATATTGTTAGAACCTATAATCTGTATATCATCGTCCACAATGTTTACAACATGCAACACTTTCTTCACAGTTTCCTTCTTTTCTGAGCTAATTGAAAGAGAGATGGCAGGCCTAGAGTCGTCATCATCATCAGTAAGATCAATAACAATCGGCTCTTGGTTTCCTGTCTGACCAAGCTGGATTGGGACACGCTGGAGTCTGACCGGCTGGGTAATACCCCCAATCTGCATATTGAACACAAAATTGTCAGGAGATTTTGTGTTCGTACTCCTTGGAGAATTTCCAGACACAATCTGTATTTCGTTGTCTTTACTACTTGGCTGTTCTTCAGCTTTACTGTCCTTAGTGTCTTTAGGTTCGTCTGTCTCCATTTTCTCTTGTTTTGCATCATATTCATCAAGAAGGTCATCAAAGTCATATTTGTCTTTCTTGCTGTAGTAGAGGCTTCGGCACTGTGACACTGATTTAGTTCCAACAATAACTGCAGCAGCTTCAAAATCTTTACCATAGTTGGTGAAACTTAATTTGAACATTTCTACTTCGTGATCAGACCACCCTTTGCTGCTGGAAGGTGGGCTTTCTGGGATCCTATACTGCTCCAAAGAAAGGTTTTTGAATTTCTTCTGCAACCTCTGGTATTGTTGCTTCTGATCAAGGATCTTGTTTTTGTATGTTATCACTTGATTGGTAAGACATGCCAGATAATGATGAGCATCTTTTGGACTGGCCACTAACTTTAAAGAATCCAAGGTCAAATCAATGCCTTCGGGAGGATTCAAGATGGTTTTCTCATTGGTCTCACCAGTTCCAACAACAGCTGATTCAAACAAGGGCCTCATAGTTGAATACTTCTGATAGTAATCTGAGCAAGCATAACACAATAGATGCTCACGCTTTAAGGTAACTAAAGTTACAGCTTTGGCTCTGTGGCAATTAGTGCATGGTTCATTGACACCTGTTCCATTGTTGGTATTGTAAAGGGCTTGTATAATTGGAATCTGGCTTTGCGTAAAACTTGAGGTTATCAGTGAAGAAGAACCCATCCTTATTCTTTTGTTCTTGTGCTCATTCAAATCATCATAAGAATCATCATCACTGTCCATATTTGAGCGTTTTGACTTCATTTTATTCTTGAGGGTTTGATACTTTGACCGAGTTTTCTTCCAAATGTAGTAAAACTTAACTATGTTGTTCACAGACTTATCTGGAAGCATCATTTTAATCTTGTGAAAGTCTTTTCCATGCTCCTGGAAACCTATTTCGAAAGTTTGTTTTTCCAATGGCGTCCAATCATCTGGATAAGGTACAAAATTAACAAGATCTTTGTTGGCATCATCAATATTATATCTGTGACAAACAAGTAATCCTAAAGACTGCTCCTCTCTATAACCAAACTTTGTCCTGGAGAACTCAACGAATTTCATAAGCTTTTGTTCAGGTAACTTAGAATATGGTTTCCATATAACCAAGGCTGGCCCTCTGCTTACAACTCGTTTTGTTGTTTCAAGAGGTGGAATTGATGCTTGATATTCAGGTCCTATTCGCATGTGAACTGGAGATTCATCAGACCCAGATGATGGACGACGCATTCTTCGATCAGACTCCCTAAGAAGAGTGCTTCCACTTCCATTGTTGCTTAGATTATTTGTAGCTTCAGCCATTTCCTGAGAAGAAAAGAAGTAATGAAACAGCATATTTTGACAATTCATACGACTCAAAATACAAAAATTACCAATGTCAGAGCAACTCTCCTTTACATCACTCTGTAAGAGACAAATCTAAGATTGAGTTGAGCGTGGCACTGCACATCACTTGCAGCTCCCAGTCAAAGGGGCATGCATTCTATAATTTTCAAAATTGAAATTATACATGGAAGTACAATGTATGATCCAGTGTTTTATATATTGCAATAGATCACTAGATGTGGAACATGATCCAGTGGGACAACTATACAACACGGAGTTGAAATGACAAAGTTATCAAGCATTTTGTTTAACCTGTTAAAAAATTCATGGGGCGATCAATTGATAGTGTGATACAACACCCTAATTCGGTTTAAAAACACGATTCCCAGTATATATACCTAAGAACACTTGATCGGCTCACTCCCCGTGCATGCCTTTGGCACGTACGTCTCACATCCCTTGATCGAGAACCCCCCCCCCCCCCCCAACCCCCTTAGCAAGAGCTCCCGTCCCTTATGTGATCTACGACTCGAGCAGTCAGATTATGATTACTTCTTAATGTGATTTCTATGATTTACAGAATTGACATGTGAACTCTACCCCAGATCTAGCCCATTTCTATGTCAATTATATTTAATCCATGGATCACATCACTAATTATACGTCTCTAATTGGTGACGTGATCTGACCCCTATTGGGGCCGGGGTCCTGATCAGTTTCCTGACCCAAAGTCTCTCAGTGAGCAGATCTAATGTCGAGTGTTAACCCAATCATCTGATCTCACGCATCGTTATGCTTGATATTTCGGTCATCTGATAAGCTAGTTGAATTGCCAAACGCAATGTGTTGCCATTTAGATCGAACTTATCATTATTAAAAGATCTAAAATAGAAATAAATTTCGTCTCAATTATATTTGACGGATGTTTCGAACAAGTCATGATTGCAAGTCACATTAAAAATGATTATTTCAATTGGGCACTCAATGCAATAAGCTGGAAATTTGCCACACTGTACTGTTTTATAATTATTTCTACCTGTTTAAATGAGATGTAATTAGAAAGTATCTCATTTGTGGTATTTCAGCAAAAGCATCCTTAAAAATATAATCACAATGACCCGATATTTGTAGGTTTACAACCTACCAGGACGCGCGCCGAGTTGGACACGTCGACGGTCCTGTATATATGGAACAGATATTTTACGAGTGTCACCCGTTAACCCTATATAAAATCAAACCTTTAAAAACATAAAATATATAATATTATCACACTTTCGAGCCAAATTTGGCAGGAAAGCAGAATTGATATTACATGCCCCGATAGGGAGCACTGGCTCTCACCCGGGGGCATGAAATATCAATCAGTTGCTCAGAGAGAGTCCGATATTCCCATAGGAACAAGGAGCCCACTCTCAACAACTGTTCTACTACTGTGAGGTACTGATTTAAATAAAGATTTAAATCAATAACCTGAAGTAGTCTATGACCGTAAATGCAATGATCAGATAAACTTTCCAGATTTAGGAAAAATATATATTTATACCTTGGTTTAAAAACATTTCCTTGCGTTTGAGATGTGTTAAGCAAAATACAATTTTTTGTTGTAAAACTTTTTCAAGCTGTTGCTTTTTTACTGCACTTCATAGTTCAAAACCTAATTAGGCTTCGGATGATGAAACAAAGTAAAAACTTCCTGGTTTGTACGAGTTTCAAGCGACTTAAGGTTACTGAAAACGAGATCAAAGTTTACAAGCAGACTTGAAAGTTGCACAACGTTTTGGTACTTGTCAGCGATACAATCAATCAGGCTTATTAATTTCCTTAATCGCTTACTTGAAATTAAAAAGGAAGTGTCAGAACAAACTACAGTCACCCTCACAAAAAGTAGTAGACACAGAAACGATGTTTGATCTATTCGAAGGAAGAAAACACACAAAACAAAGCCAGATTTCAGCCATTTCAGACCTGAATTTTAACCCCCTCTGATCCCTTCTTTGAGCCATATTCCATATAGAAATTGTGCAGAAATTATACTTGGCTTTTCCATTTTCCAAACCGGTTTCGCCTAGATTAGCTTGCGAAATTCGTGGCTGATCTATAAACAGACTGATAAAGAGACTTATAGATTCTGTACAATAAAGAGCGAAAATTCTATCCCAGGACTAGTTTTAACTGAATTTTAGTTAGTGCAAATAAGTGCAATAAAAACATCCTATAAAATATATTATCTATATAAATATATCAAGGGACGAATGACGTAACTTAATCAGCTAATCTGGTTATAAATTAGTCTGGGCACTGGGGCAAACAGGTCCGATGATTAATGTGCTGCCATTCTTTAGACAATTCAATATTGGTAACAGTACGGGTGAACTACCTGGCCATGGCCATGACCAGTCACCAGGGTGGTTATAGGCTGGTGGAGTACTGCGTTCTAAAATGTTGAAGAGATACATTTGAATATTACAAATGTTCTGATAATTTCCAGTTCAGATAATTTCTAGCTCGAAGCAGATAATGGCAAATAATGGCAAGTAAAGATGGATACTGACTAAGAACTAAGCAGAATACTCGATAAAATTCTAAGTCAACGATAACAAGTTGCATTAAATCATTCTGAAATAACAGACAATCAAGAATCAAGACGGACGATAATATTGTTGATGTAAATTAGGGAGTGTAGTGTATAATGTGGACTGATAAATAGACACTAATTATGACCCCACAGCTCTATTCAAATACAAGAACTAGGAAATTCTTTCACCCCATCGCAGATACAGATTATACGATAAGGACTGTGATGTATAATCAACACTTAAACGGATGTTCTATACATTATACATCTACAGTTTTAATGACTCTAAAAATATCTAATAGAAATAAAGTATTAGAATCACCTCACATCGATTGATTTGCAGGATGTAATTACGTATCAAACGCGCTCGCGCGGAATATTCTAGACTCATAAGTACAAGACCCATAGGCGGAAAACACATTAATATCGCATGCACTAGGTAGCAGTACAAAGCAAATTCAGCGCGGCACACAGCATTCACTGTGTCATAAATGTGAAACGCGAGATTCTAATTTCACGTATTGTATCTTTAATATCTGAAATACTAACTTATCGAGAGCTATAAATAGCTTGGACATTATAAACATAAATAAGTTCGACATGTCTAGTTTTGCTTTGGTGAGATTTATAACTAACGTTTGATCAAATTCTGCTTTCCAGGCCAAATATGGCTCCAAATAATGGCAAATAATGGCAAATATGGCAAGTAAAGATGTATACTGACTAAGAACTAAGCAGAATACTTGATAAAATTCTAAGTCAACGATTACAAGTTGCATTGATTAAATCATTCTGAAATAACAGACAATCAAGAATCAAGACGGACGATAATATTGTTGATGTAAATTAGGGTGTGCAGTGTATAATGTGGACTGATAAATAGACAATCATGGCGCCACAGCTCTATACTATTCAAATTTAACAACCAGGAAATTCTTTCACCTTATCGCAGATACAGATTATACGATAAGGACTGTGATGTATAATCAACACTTAAACGGATGTTCTATACATTATACATCTACAGTTTTAATGACTCTAAAAATATCTAATAGAAATAAAGTATTAGAATCACCTCACATCGATTGATTTGCAGGATGTAATTACGTATCAAATGCGCTCGCGGCGGAATATTCTAGACTCATAAGTACAAGACCCATAGGCGGAAAACACATTAATATCGCATGCACTAGGTAGCAGTACAAAGCAAATTCAGCGCGGCACACAGCATTCACTGTGTCATAAATGTGAAACGCGAGATTCTAATTTTGACGTATTGTATCTTTAATATCTGAAATACTAACTTATCGAGAGCTATATATAGCTTGGACATTATAAACATAAATAAGTTAGACATGTCTAGTTTTGCTTTGGTGAGATTTATAACTAACGTTTGATCAAATTCTGCTTTCCCGGCCAAATTTGGCTCCAAAGAAAGTGTGATAAAACATTAATCACATGCCTTCTCATGCGATATCAACATTTTCAAAACTCGGCAAGCCTCGTGATTGAAAATGTCGATATAACCCTCGGCAAGCCTCGGGAAATATCGAAACTTTCGCTAACTCGGCAAGCCTCGTGGGCGAAAGTTTTGATATCGCATGAGAAGGCATGTGATAAATGTATAATAACTACAAACATTAATTTATGGATTAATAGCCATTGATATTTTAATTATATACCACATACATTCAATTAGAAGTCAACCTAGATTATACTGTGATCAAAAATGGCCAATCTTTCCAACACTGTGCACTCTGGGCATTGACTAGTTGGAAGTGAAGACAAAAATTATTACAGCGCTCGATTTAAACAATACACTGCATGGCGTGCTCAGAATTGTCAGTTTTATGTTACTGCTGCAATTTTGGGCATGGTTGAATTCATTCCATAATTTAGTTAAAATCGTGTTGGTTTTGTGATTGAACAACTCTGTAAAGCTAAGTCCACAGTAATTATATTATTTGTTATAGCGCGATGCTTCACATAGCCATGTGTCTACGCTTGTTTCACAAGTAGAATAGACACATACAGATCAGCACACCTTTGCCGCCTTCGGCGGTCGCGCGCTACTGCAAGCGAGAGGGCTTTCGGTAGAGCAAGCGCGATGCAGTAATATACAGGGTACTGCGCCGCGCGTCAAATAATGTTTCTCGCTACCACATACTTGCTCGATCCAGAGCCCTTGGCCCTTTGCGCTTGCAGTGCTTGCAGTGGCGCGCGCCCGCCTTTTGACTTGTGAATAAGCGCGCCCGCAGCGGCGCGAAAGCACATGGTTAGGTGAAACCACATACCAATATAGTAATAAAGGCTCTTGCGGGCAAAAAATACGTGTTTTCTGCTATGGGTTTGGTCTGGAGAACTAACCATTAATTAAATGATGTGCAAGGCCAGGATCAA